ACATTTTTGAACAAGGCAATGACATTGTCAAAGTTACAAAGTGAAAAGCATGGACTAGGGGCAGACCAGCAGGTGGGGACACAGGTAGGGTGGGGTGTGGGGTGAAGGGAAATGGTTTAACCCAGACTAAGAGATCAAGAGAAGGGTGGGCCTGAGCAGGTGGCACCCCCCCACTAAAGAGAAGGGAGGAACTCTTTCTGCAGCTGTGGTTTTGGGTTGATTCATCAAAGTTGAGATGAGTTTGCATTCCTAATCCCCAGTGGGTCCTCCTCCAAGGCATTATGACTTAATAGTGTTTTGTTATGATCAGGGAATCACTTGATTATGTGAATCCAAAACCAGATCCGTTCTAAAGCTCTCAAAAAGCCAAGGTGGTTCCCAGGGGCAGAGTGTACCAGGAGTGACTTGTGTCTTAGCAATGGATGAGTTGTATCAGGTTTTATTTGGTCCTGGCTGGGGTCATGATCAAAATCCTTACCCCTTAAAAGTGTTCTCAAGCCATGAACAGTCTCTAGCTCATAGCCAGCTTTCTGTCTTCTTACTCCTCTTCATCTGAGTCTCTCTTTAAAGGATTAATGGTAGACCCACATTCCTCTAAGCAAATCAGATAACTCTCCAGCTGTGGCCCTGTGGTGGACTCTCCAGTTTGTAAGTCCCAGTAAGAAATCAGCCAAATGACCAAGAACCATTTTTTGGTGATGTTCTTCCTATTTTCTCTAATCTTCCTTCAACCTGTAAGTCAAATGCCTGCATAAATATCCAGTGTTGTTTGCTTAATAATGGCAACAGTTTTTTAATTGTAGAGTTTCTCAGACTCATGGAGTTTTTTCAGTGCACAGATGTCCCAGACTCACTTCATCCCATGTTAGAGTCTCTTCATGTTGGAGGGACATTTGCAATATTAAAGCTCTCCAGAAGTGACTCTTACAAGTCAGCAGGCAAGAGAAACACTCATTTAGTGCTTCATAATTTACAAGATATCCTCACGTGCATTTTAGCCTCCTCTAGGAGATTGCTGATAATTGTTTGCCTCGTTAGTATTGGAAATTAATTATCTTGGCTGCTGATCTCATAACTATGACATCTAGTGTTTTTACTTTAAAGTCACAAATGAGTACTGACTTTCCAAGATTTCTCTCAGGCTGTCTCTAAAGAGGCTCACTTTATATTGTCAAGGTTTAATAATACAAATTCCAGGCATACATCAATACTACGATACTAATGTAAAAATATTAATGATTAATAGAACACACTCCTATGTAACCATCACCAAGTAAAAATTATCATCAATTCGTGATCACTCATGTTTTGTTTGTATACCCTTATCCCCCTTTTCACTGCCAGTGGATACTTTGTAATGGTTCCCAGATGTGTATACCACTTCCCTAGAAGGGAAAAATACGTAAAGAGGAAAAGTTATTAGACACTTTATTAGATAAAATGTGGTATATTCAAAATAGTTCTTCCTGTAAATTGCTAGAAACCATGGAGCTAATGATGAATTATTTGTCAGTCTTAATAATTTAAGGCTGATCGAGTTCCTTTAACTTTCATCTCTAAGGGCAGGCTGCAGAGCAGCGTCATGGTAACAGGAAGGCCAAAGGCAAACTGCTGCTGAGAATTGGTAGGAAACTTCATCTGGTGGGATCCTTTGCTCCTGCATCAAAGGTCCTGGAGTTACATCTTGAGCTTCCAGTATCAAAGACAATAATTTTTTTTAATGCCCGAGTGGTGTGCTATCGTGATGAAGAACATGGAATCTCAAGCAAGACTTCCTCGGTGCAGATCCCATCTTTGCCGTACAA